ATCTCTCAGCTTGCTCAAGGTCTTGTTTACCCCAAGATGAGCTCCAGTTTTACCACCGTGAATTTCTTCCAATACCTGGGTAACTTTCTTCCTTGGTACCAGTAACTGAGTTGTTACTGTGCTGCCATTCGCACTTTCCCATGTGCGCTTTAACAATCCATTCTCAATAACCAGTCAATTCCACTGAGCCCAGAGAGCTTTGAAAACGAGCCCTCTGTCCGCAATATCCTGCCACGGTGGTCTCTCGCCGTTACCTTCCTTGAGCCGTAGTATTGCTCCGATGTCTGGATCTTCCATTTGATCTTTCCTCAATTGTGTCGTCGTCCACTGTTCATCGGTTCCAAGTTTAAAACTCCTTATCATGGCAGTGCCTTCACGTTGTTCCGTTTTACAGCAGTGCTTACAATCGGTTTGACAGGGTCTTCTGGGTAAACCGTCTGCGTTACCATGCATTTTTCCAGCACGATGTTGGATGGTAAAGTGATACTGTTGGAGCTTCTCGAGCCATCGTGCTATTTGACCTTCAGGTTGTTTCATCTCCATAAGCCACTTGAGAGCCGCATGATCTGTCCTAATTAAAAATTCTTGGCCGTACAGATATTTATGAAAATGATCAACTGCCTTCACAATTGCTAGCAGCTCCTTCCGGGTAACGCAGTAATTCCTTCCTGGTTTGGATAGAACTCGACTGTAATATTCTATCACTCGTTCTTTGCCATCTTGCACTTGTGATAGCACTGCACCTATGCCGATATTGCTGGCGTCGGTATCCAGGATATACCTCCCTTGTTGTTGCGGGTAGGCTAGAATAGGACTTGAACATAAAGCAGCCTTAAGTCTTCCAAAGGCTACATCACAATCGGTGTTCCATTCGTAGCCGACTTCATCACCTGTAAGCCTATGTAAGGGTGCAGCTATATTGGCAAATCCCTTGACAAATCTTCTGTAATAAGTGCATAAACCCAGGAAACTTCTAAGTTCATGTTTGTCGCGAGGTTTAGGCCAATCCTTGATTGCAGCGATTTTCTTCTGATCGGTGTAAATTCCGTCTGCCGAAACTACATGACCCAAGAATTCCACTTGTCGCTGGAATAAGCTACACTTCTTCGGGTTCAAGTACAGGTGCGCATTCCTTATGCGGCCGAAGACTTCTTCTAAATTTCGCAAATGCTCCTCAAAAGTTCTTCCCATAACCAATACATCGTCGAGGTAAACCAAGCACGTTTTCCAAGTTAATCCTCTTAACACCACCTCCATGAGACGTTCGAAAGTGGCTGGAGCATTGCATAATCCAAACGGCATGACCTTGAATTGATATAGTCCGTTTCCTGTAGAAAAGCCGTCTTTTCTTTGTCTTCCTCGTCTAGACCAACTTGCCAGTATCCACTCTTTAAGTCGAGAGTGGAGAACCAGCACGAACCTGCCAGAGTTGTTAATGTGTCATCTATACGTGGCAGTGGGTAGCTATCTTTCTTAGTGACGTCATTGAGCTTCCTATAATCCACGCAGAATCGTGTACTACCATCTTTCTTCGTCACCAAAACAACAGGAGATGACCATGGACTTGATGATTCTTCGATTACTCCATCTTCTAACATCTTATCTACCATTGTCTCCATTTCTTGTTGTTTGGAAAGGGGCACCCTTCTAGGACGTTGTCGAATCGGCTGAGCATGACCAGTATTAATCCGGTACTTCACAAAATCCGTTCTTCCACTGTTGTTCTTCTCAAAAATACTGCCATGCTTTAGCAGGAACTGCTTGGCCTTCGGTTTCTCCTCAGGTGTTAGGTGATCCCATGGCTGTTCTAGATGTTTTAGTGTTTCTTGGGATGCCTTTTGTGTAACAGCTGACGACACTTTATCACATCGGGTGACACTTCTTACAGGTTCGCAGATGGCTATCTTGTCACCTTTTTGGATCTTGACACAATTCGGGTAAACATTCGCAATTCTGATCGGTATATTCTTGTCGGTGTTCACCAATTATTTTCCTACTAAGTACCTATCTTGTTTCTTGTCGCCACTTTGTACCAGTCCAACACAGCACCCAGCGATTTTCTCCACTTTACCGAATATGATCTTCTCGGTATTACCAGGTATCACCACAGTTTCCGCTGATCTTACATCCATTCTTCCTGATCCCTCGTCTGGAGATAACATAAACTCTTCATTTCCGATATTCAGGATATTTCTCTGGTGATCGAACGAAAATCCATGTTGACGAATCACATCCATGCCCAAGATGAAGTCATCTTCAATATCTGCCACTAAGACGCTATGCTGGAACTTCAAATTTCCTAACTTCAGTTCGACGATAGCCTCTCCCCGTACAACGGCCATTTCCCCCGTAACTGTACGTAAACACACTCTTCTTCTCAGAGGCATCAGCTTCAACCCTTGCACTGAGTTGGCCCGTACCAACGATACCATAGCGCCAGTGTCCACTGTCATTCGGATTCTCCTACCATTGACCTTCCCGTCGATCACCAAACTGTCAGCGGTTCTTCCTAAACTCCTAATGGAAAAAATCCTGGGGGCTCTGTTCTCCCCAGTCAATACTTGCCCCTTAGTATTGACTGATTTTAGTTTTCCTGGTGCCTACGTTCTCTGGATGGTGAACGGGATCGCATTTGAACGCGGCAATCCCGTTTGATGTGGCCATTCCTGCCACATCTATAACACCTTATGTCCTGTGATCTTCTATGGTTCTCTGTCTGGGTGTTGTTGCTACTTTTGTTCACTAGTAACTCACATAGTTTACTAAACATCTCCCCCAAACGTATGTGAGAACTTCCGGGCTGTTCCTCGACCGTTACCGATCTTATCTTCGGTCTAGGGATGGCGCTAAAAGCAGCTTCAATTTCTAGCGCCCTGACCAGTGCTTCGCTGCTGGTAGAAAATCGGAATATTTGCAGCGCCCTCTGCAATTCGTTGTCCCTCAGTCCGCTGATAAAGCACTGAGCAGCCAGTTCTACCCTAAATCCTTCCGGTGCTTCTGGATACGCTAGGTATACCAGGCGACGTAAGTCTGCTTCAAATTCCTGCAGACTCTCTCCGGACCTCTGCATGCGTGTCTTGATCTGGGCCTGGTAAAGTTGACGTCGATATTGGTTGCCATATCTTTTGTCCAGTGCAGCGACCAAAGTTTGGTATTCCTGCTGTTGGGTTGCAGGAATAGTTTGCAAGAGTTCCAGGGCAGGGCCACGCAGCGCGATGACAAGTGCCGCTGCTTTCTCCTGGTCAGTCCATCCATTCGCAGCAGCCGCTGCTTCAAACTGGTGGTGGTACATCGTCCAGGTGGTTTGTCCATCGTAGGTCGGGGCCTTGAAGTTCGCAGTTCCATGAACGCCAGGTGTCTTTACTTGTACCTTGGTCTTCTGTAGGTCCATCTCTAATTTTTCCATTTTCTGCCGAAGGCGTTCCTCAAGATCTTCTACGGCTTCTTGAAGGTGGATGTCTTGCCTTTTTTCCAGTTCTTCAAAGTTCTTCTTAAATCGGTTTTGATCTTCTAATTTTTCTTTCTGGCGACGCACTTCTAAATCTTCAACAATTTTCTCCAACCGTTCTTGTCTAATTTCTTGATTTTCAAGAATTTTCTGAAGCCGGTCCTGTTCTTCTTGTTTGTCGTGCTCTCGTTGAACTTTGAAATCTTCGAGAATTTTCTCAAGCCGGTCCTGTTCTTCTTGTTTGTCTTGTTGTCGTTGAATTTTCAAATCTTCGAAAATTTTGTCTTGCCGGTCCTGTTCTTGTTTTTCTTTCTTTTGATGCGCTTCTAAACTTTCTAACATTTTTTCTTGATTTTCCATAAGTATTTTCTGTAGACAGTCTTGTTCCTCTTCTTTCTCTCTTCTCATATTCTCCATAAAATCGCCCAATAATTTGCTTACTTCCTCCATTTTCTTCGCTTGCTCCCTTGTACCAACCATAAAAATACTTAAATTCGGTCTAAAAATCTTCCAATCCACTTAATTTCTTCTTAAAATCCTCTTGAATCGCACTTCCGACACCAATTGTTACGGATTCCGTGGGTCCACTATTTAAACTCACGATAAAATACTTAACGAATTTATTTGTTTCACTCTGTACACACAACTTATACTATTTACAACACAACTTATGCAACTACTATTACTCTAACGGTATTTCGCGGTATTTTCAAACTTCAGACTTCAGACTATCTTCAGACTTGTCCAACTGTCAAAGCGCGGGCCTTATATACCCCCTGGCGATTGTTTCTAGATTTTTCTAAAGAATTCTATAATTTTCTTTTACTTTCTGGCGAATGCGCCAGGTTCCTCAATGCACGTTGCGATTATTTAGCAGTATGCAGTTATGCAACCAGTAATACACCTTGACAATATAGAAAAATACATTAAAAATGGTATTCGAGAAAATTTTGAAAACGAATCTATTGGGTTTTCACTTAAGTCAAATACAAACACTTTAAAATCTCATTTTTTTTGCACCGAAAAAATTGATTTTACAAAAACCGATTCAATAGGTAGACTTTTAGGTTTCGAGAAAAGAGTGATTGAAGCTAATGTAATTAATCAGTCAGATAATGTAGTCAATATTAGCAAAGTTAACACTATTTGTATTGATTGCAACATTTGTGTAGGATCGTTTAGTAATGGTAAACCTGTACACATAATTCATCAATTTTTTGCCGCAGTAGCTCCAGGCTATAAAATAGTGGAATCCCCACTACCCATATTATATTTTCCCGTCAGCGTTAAAACAATCAACAACATTACCGTAAAAATAATCGATCAGAACGTAGATCTTATTAATTTTCGAAACGAAACAATTACGGTTAGACTACATTTAAAAAGCGATAATAATGGTTATCAGATATAATAGACCAATACCACCAGTTATTATTAAACGTTATAAAAAGACTACATCTAGTTGTAAGAATAGTATTAAACAATCCTCTGAGAAGCTAACACCAGAAAACCGCCAATTTCTCCAATCTTTGGGGTTTAAAGTATTACAATAATGGATATACTTAATGTAACAGAAAAACTCTATGTAGACAATTCAATAGTTAGTACTGAATTACATACATATCAACCATTCATCTCTTCGAAATTCGATTATAACGATGAAATACGAATACCAATTCAAGAACTTGATGCGTATACGCTACCTTCAGAAAGTCTTTTATATATTGAGGGAGCTCTTTTAAATAATGAAGACAAATACACAAAAAAATTAAAGTTTGTTAATAACGGCATTGCATTTCTATTTAGAGAAATTCGCTTTGAACTTAACGGGGTTATTATAGATTCTGTAAGGAATGTTGGGTTAGCTTCAACTTTAAAAGGATACGTTTCTTTCAATACCAATGAGAGCATTAAACTGCAGAACGCTGGATGGTTCCCAGACAGAAAAGAAAGTGATAGAATCTTGGTAGATGACAATGGAAAATTTAATGTATCTATACCCCTAAAAATACTTCTTGGATTCTTTGAAGATTATAAGAAAATTATTTTAAATATGAAACAAGAGTTGGTCCTAATTAGGGCTAGTAATGACTTAGATGCCGTTTTCTTTAAAGATGATACAACCCCTCCAACAACTACTGTTGAAACGCCAAAGGTTTCAATTGATAAACTATGTTGGAAGATCCCTCATATTACAGTCGATATTCCTCAACAACTTGCTCTAACTAAGATATTAGAATCAAACAAAGAACTTTTAATTGGATTTCGAAGTTGGGAAATTATTGAATATTCTTCATTACCTGAGACCACTCGTCACACATGGCCAGTAAAAACCACTAGTAAACTCGAAGCTCCTCGTCATGTCATAATTGCATTCCAGATAGATATAGGACAAGTTACTAAAGATATGAGTCAATTTGATAATGTTGATTTATCTAATATCCGAATCTTTTTAAATTCCGAAAGATATCCATATCATGACCTATATTTAAATTTTAAAGAGAACAAATATTCTGCTTTATATGAAATGTATGCTGATTTTAGGCACTCTTATTATGGAACTTCTATTGAACCAATGTTTAGTCCGGAAAAATTTAAGAGTATTTATCCAGTTACACATATTGACTGTTCTCATCAAAAAGAATTCCTACAAACCGGTTCTATTGTAATGAGAGTGGAATTTGAAACAAATGCTAATATCAAAAAAGAAACATCTGCTTATTGTCTTATTTTGCATGACAAAGTATTTAGTTATAACCCCTTAACAAAAATTGTTAAACCACTCTAATGCGCATGCAACTCTAACTACATAAATGTAGAAACTGATCAACATCAGATATCAGTATGAATACAGAACTGGAACTACGTGTATCTGAATATTTAAAAAAATTAAAGAGATTAAAACAACAAATACAAAATTACACCAACAAAAAATCAATGTATATTAAATTTTCACGTATGAAAATATGAAGTTACTGGTGCTTGATGTTCAAGGATTTAAAGTAGAGAACAATCGATTTACTCCTAAAGAATTAGCAGCATATGATGGAAAAAAGATATGTCATTTCCTGTTTAAACGACCTTTTAATTTAAATCAGTTACCACCACACTTGGCCAAGGAAGCTAATTGGTTAATGCAAAATCATCATTATCTTCCATGGTATAAAGGATATACACCAATTCATAAGTTTTCTGATATCATCAAAGATATCACTGAAGAAGTAGACCATGTATATGTAAAAGGGAGAGAGAAAGCAGAATATATAAGAAAGTACTCATTAAAACCAGTGATGGAACTCGATGAAAACCCAACCATACAGCCAGGAGAGCCTCAGTGTTCTCATCATTCAAAATCACCATCCATTTGTGCTCTAACTAACGTTTATTATTTGTATAATAATTTTTTAATGATTGAATAAAGCAAATATTTAATAACCTGAGTTTTATTTACTATCTGTACTAAACAGCAACACATATTAAAATACAGCAAACAGACAGCAAAATACAGCAAACAGACAGTAAATACAGCAAACAGACAGCAAAATACAGCAAACAGACAGCAAACACACAGCAAACAGACAGCAAACAGACAGCGAAATACAGCAAACAGACAGCAAAATACAGCAAACAGACAGCAAAATACAGCAAACAGACAGCAAAATACAGCAAACAGGCAGCAAAATACAGCAAACAGATAGCAAAATACAGCAAACAGACAGCAAAATACAGCAAACAGACAGCAAAATACAGCAAACACACAGCAAACAGACAGCAAAATACAGTAAAACAGTTTTCTGATGGGATTAAATAAAACGGACACATAAAATAAAAAATTTATTCGTTTACATTTTCTTCAGACATATCTTTGGGTATAAATTTTTTGACTTCATTCACAAAGTGGTTTAGATCCAGCTCCTTAATTCTATTTGTGAAAGTTTTTATATCTGATGTGTTTAAATATATATCACAAGCTTCAACCCCCCTTCGATATTTTTTAGCAATTTCTTTACACTCTTCAGCAGTATAGAATTTCTCCATACCATAAACAGCTTCATGTTCCGCATCAAATTCTAAGTTTTCCTAATGCTCTTTTAAATTTTCGACAGCAGATATCAAGTCGTAAGCTGGTGTCACTTTTACGTATGCCATCCACATCTTGACTGAAAGATACTGAGTAAACTAGCGGTATTAAGTACTAAATTTAGGTGGTGGGGGGAAATAAAATGGATAGTTGAATGAATAAATTTTATTTTTTAATGATACTTTTCACAAACTCATTGCATGCAAAAGTTTCTACATCTTCTATAACACAATCAGGATAAAATTGTAGTAACTCGAGTACACAGCAAACATTAGCACTGTTTGGATTAGGTGTGATTACATCATAAATATTTTTAATCAAATCTCCATTTTGCAGGGAGACTCCACTAACGATAGTATTATAATATTTTGAAAATTCTTGAAATTTCAACATATCAAAACGGTATTTCACCAAATTCACTAAATTTACAAGTTCGTTTATTGTATCACCAGCTAAGTATAATTCGTTTCCTCCGTCTTGAGTTATCTTGATAACTCTTGAATCACCCATAAAAATAAAATGTATCTCGTATCCGTCTCCTTGCATAGGTCGCCATCCATAGCTGTTGGAGTAAATAAAGCTCAACATAACCCCTTGATTGTTTAAAAATGAGATCCACTGATCTTCATTGAAAACTATATGTTGATTGTATTTGTATCCTCCAAGCTTCATTACTGGTGTATATTTCCTTTCCAATAAAAATCCAACGCTAACCCATTTGGATCTTGATTTATTAATATAATATTCACTAATTAAAATCTCGCTGCGCTTAGTTCGAAATTCTTCAACTTTTTTAATTTGTTTATCGAGCGACACACTAGTTGATAGCTGGTTGTAAAAGTTTGCCTGATACATTTTAAGGTTATAATAAGAGCAATGTTGTCAACAGAATGCTTGCAAATATTTTTGTCACTGATTAAGAATAACCAAGAACAAAATGGAAAGGGGATTGTGTTGATGGGAGGATACAAAATGATCATAATTTAAAAACCAAGAAAAAGTGTAAACGGGGTTGTTGTATCGTAATGATCACGTTATTAATTTATCTTTCTGAAATACCACAAGAGAATTGAAACTATCAGTAATATCACTAATACACCGGCTAATGTAAAGAGTATGGTGTATGAATAATCAGAGTTCTGTTTTACATTTTGAAGAGAACAATTAGTTGTTTTAATTTCGAACCATGAAGAAAATATTCGAGATCTATTTGGATAGATGTGCAAAATTTTAAAAAATGTATGATTAGTGGTATTTAAATCATAAGAAAATACATTCACATCATTTATTCGAGAAAAATTCATAGGTTTATAACATTGTGGATATGTTTCTATTTATGTCTCTCATTTATGTCTCTCATTTAAGCAAATATATTGAAGGTATACATTTGGCGGTTTATGTACATATAGGATATTTCCCAAGATGGAGAATAACAGTATTGCCTTTACTGGTTCCATTTTAGAAGGGATTCAGCCGTAAACTAACGAAAAATTAAACAATTTTATGTTTTTATATACATTTATTTTTATAATTTTATATACATTTAATATAATACATCATCATACATTATACTGTTTAAAATATCTACAGCATCATTAACATCTTTATCATCAGTAGTACACGCATTTTTATGCCCCCAGGCTAATGTTCTAAAACTTCCAGGAATTATACATCGCTTGTCATCATTAGGTGATAATGCAACTTTATTTTTTAATTGTGTATACATATCATGCATTATTGATTTAAAAATATTCATATTTCTAAATTTAATAATAGAATTTTGATCAACGCCTTTATAATCTTCTGAAGTAATAGAATTTTTAATTACATATTTTTTTACTCCCTTTGCTTTTCTCTCAGATTTATTTTCTAGATTTACACAGTAAGCCTTTGCTCCTGTTCCATAAAAACTTAGAATAGGTTTACCAGCAAATTCATCCTTCATTCGACCCAAGACAGATTTATTTTTAGTTATTTTATATACATTATTTTCATCATAGTTGGATGTATCAAATTTATGTAAATTTTCTTGCATATCTTGGTAAAAATTTTCTGTTTTTACATATAACACCAAACTGTCTGTATCGGTGTACAATAAAATTGCATTTTCACCATATTTATTTTTTATATAATCGTAATAAAATTTATAAATAACACTTTTTGATAATTCTAGAACACTGAATCCAATATATATTGGTTTATCATAAGATACTTTCATTCTTCCCATTTGAATTGCAACCAGATTTTCAGTAAAAACCAACGAATTTTTAAAATTAGGTTTAGCAATTAATGTTTCTGCTTCATACTGTTTACCTTTATTTTTCCAGTGAGTTATCAGTTTAATATCCACACGTTTATCAACATTTTCCAAAGATTTACCATAAATAGAATTATTAAATAACTTATAACAATCCTTTTCTAGTTTGTTTTTAGATTTATTTCTCATTTCAGTATTTAGATCAATATATGGTTTAAGAAACGGTGACTGTCTAAATTTAATTGCTCTATGAATTTTTATTAATTCAAGACCATTTTTTAGCGCCTGCTGAAGATTTTGATAGTGGATTGTATACTTTTCTTTGTTTTCTAAATTGCAAATTAATTTTTTTTCAGTAGAACCAGGTGCACAAATATTTTCAGCCAAAAATGGTAATTCATTGTGTTTATCATGTAATTTTTTTGGATAATTAATATCTACTTCAAATACATTGCCGTAATCTGAATATTGTGATATAGACATTTTATCAAGATTTTTAATTTCATCTTTTGATAACCAAGTGAAATCTCCTACAGGCAGGTACTGACTCATACTATGTCCGTACAAGTTTGTTGCATCTAAATACATAATATAAGAATTTTGTTTTGAAGAGTAAAAATTTTTAATAAAAGGGTTATTAGCTTCAGCTTTTCGAACACTACAATGACAAATACCACCTCTTATACTATTTTTAAAAAAATAAATCATGTCAATATCAGTCAACAATTCTAATTTTACATCTGTTGTTCGTAACATCGCATCCCAACTTAAACCTGGAGCTGTGTAGTAATGAGCCGGATCCAAACAATAGATGTTCATAGAAACATTTCGAAAGGCTTCAAAGAAATCTGTTAATATTAGAACATCAGACACAAGATAAATTTTTGTATAATCCATTAAATTTTGACAATTGAATAAATTCCACACATTAATGGCTCTATCATAATCTTTTTGATCAATAGGTTCGTCTCTAAGTGTATCATAAAAATTATCAATACTTGGTAGTTTAGTTTCATATCATTTATCAATAGAATTCACATATGAATAAGGATAAATTCCCTTCTTTCTTACTTCATCAAACTGTTTTGTTTCCTGAAAATATTTTTTTATTTCAATACACTGATCTGGATCTAAACTTTCTCCTAATTTTTCCAAAGAAGAGTTAACAAAACGAAAGGAATCCAAAAATCTTAATTTGACATAAACATTTTTATCTTTTTTTCTTTAGTTTTCTTTTTATCTACCAAAATTAATTTTGAGAATGAAATATATTTTTCCTTTGTTTGAGCTATTACATCAATTTTATCATTTTCTTTACAAAGATGTTTAATATACAGATGAAGATCATAATTTAAATTATGAAAAAATACTGGAATAAATCCTGGATTATCTTTGAAATTAAGGTTGCATGATCCTTGTTTAAGTGTATTTGTGTACACATGTGTATGTGCAGGACCGCGATATTTTCCCGTGAAATGATTGTGATCCTTGGCCTTAACTTCTCCAGGTTTAAACGGTTGTTGACAAATATGACAAATTTTGCTATCTCTAAATGTAACTTTCTCTTCCTCAGTTAATGGAAACATCGGAACTACATGTTTCAAATAATCATTATAAATTCGATGCACATGGTTCTCAATTCGTTTACAAAATTCCTCGGCCGCATCATTTCCGAAGTAATAGTCTATTACAGATAAAGAGTCGTCATATGAACATTTAATAAAATAAGCAAATGCGTACGGTTCATGTTTAAAAGTGTTAATAGTATAAGATTGCAAATTATCTTCTGGTTTTTTGTGATCCAAAGGTTTAAGAAAACATTCAAAATCTGCATAAATTACAAAAGGTACTCTTAACTGTTTTTGAAAATTTTCAAACTGAAGAATGTTTTCTGGAATACTTTGACCAAATTTGTTAATTTTTAAACTTTTAGTAGGAATTTTTGTAACCACATGATTACAATCATTCCTTTGATGTATTGCTAATTTTTCATAAGAAGAAAAATAAATTAAACACCCCTCACAAAAATATTTCTTATGTTCCTTTTTATTAATTTGAGCTGATATTAATCTAGACATGTTTTTTATCCAACAATAATGATTATTTTTACCATCACTTATTAGTAACAGATTCACATGGTTTGTTAATTTTTTATCACTATAATAAAGAGGTCCAACTACTTCATGTTTTAACTTATTGTCTTCGAAAACACTCTCTAGACCATACATGTTCACGGATATTTCATTTAATTGTTCAAATTTTGATATGTCTTTTAGTTTTACTGCGAATTCTATACCTTTAAAATCGAAACGTGTAAAAAAATCAGGATATGATGTTGTTCTGTCACTATTTACTTCTACTGGAAACTTTGCGCTTATAAGACTCCATCCAAAACAAAATTGATCTTTATTTTGCACATTGATCACAGCTTTCTTATTTACTATATCTCTTGGTAAAGGAATGTATGAAGATCCTCTCATAGGATTATATTTATTTACATTGATCTCCAGATATAAAATTTTTTGTAAAGCCCATCCGGATCCATTTTCTGCGAATATAGATATTTTTTCTTTAACAGTGTCGAGAAAATCATGAAAAATATTATCGAGGTTACTTCCAAAATGTATAACTTTATTTCGTGTGTTGAAAGATTTGGTCCCAATAACTTCCTTAGATTGAAGAACAAATTGACCAAACAACTCTGCATTTATTTTCAGTGAATGATGTTTTATTAACTCCTCATTAATTAATTTATCAAACTTTGGTTTTATTTCTTCAAAATATTGATCAATTTCTATATAATCCTTAGATGGAAGTAACATAAAAGACACAATTCGGTTTTTAAGGGCCGATTTTCTGATTCTTACATTTTCACTATTGTTTTTTATCACAACACTTTTGTGGAGATTTGATCGTAAATGTGCACTGATTTTATTTTTTATGAACCATATACCGCATTCCCGACAAAATTTTTAAGTTATTTTTGGGACTTTCTTGTCAACTTTACACTTTTCAGGAATATCTGTGATGTCATCTGCAGCCTTTCTTTTCTTAGTAATTTTTAATTCAGATCCTGAACGACTGAAACGGAAAATACATGATTCCTTTTTGTGTCTGTATACATTTGTTCTATGTTTGAAACACTTGTTACATTCACTGCACTTAAACATAACGATAACTTTTGTACGTTCTATGGGTTTGATAATTCAACTTCTAATTTTTATAAAAATCGTCTATGAAAGAAACTACCTTCTTTACTCCATGATAAACTGATTAGTACTGGGATAACGAGTAATGATCCTATTTAAAATAAGCGAAGGGGAAAGGGGACAGCAAACGGTGGGAGGATGTTATATCTTTCGGGTTAGGATCGTGGGTGGGGGGATTTTGCAACCAGAGAATGAGGGGTGTATCTGTATCTTGTGCGCCAGAATCGGGTGTATCTGTATCTTGTGCGCCAGAACCGGCCTATTCTCCCTACTATTCACCCTGTTTCTTTAACTTGACAACAGTTTCAACGCGCCTTTTAGATATTCCAAAACTATGCAAGAATGTCTTTTTACATACCTGCACATCACCTGAGCCATTAGGTAATGTAAAGCAAACTGTGGCTTGCCTTCTATTTTCAGTTGAAACTTCATA